AAGTTATTATATTCAATTTCATGACATTATACCTTATTTTATTACATCGTTGTAAATAGTCTAAAGAAGCACTTTAATTAAGAAATATATTAGTGTATTATAAAGAACATGTGGGATTCAAAATATCTTTAGTGGAAAGACCATTACAGTCGAGAAGTTGGATAATTAAAATCAACATAATAATTTTTTCCAAACAAGATTGAATTGCTCACAAAGAATCTCAAGTGAAATTTCATTTTTTTTTCAATACAGAGTTTCGTTGTAGTATTGCATTTGATTTGTCAATATAAATGATAGGTAGTTAGAATAAATAAACTCTAATATTAAGTTTTTATTTTTGATCTAATTTATTTTTATAAAATTGGCTTAGAAAATGAAGCATGTGTCTCTCTTTATAAACTTTACCTACTTTATCTTAGTGGAATTTTAACTTTTTTCCAAAAGTTAAGGTTGCCCCTCAATAATTTTTTATACTCGAGAATCCAAATCTTTAAGTGAATTTCACACTATACCAATAGCCATAGTTTATAAATAACCAGCTAGCATTCCAATTTCATTAGTGCAACAACTTGCATATTTCAATGGAGTGTGCCTAATAAAAAACAATGTAGATAAAAGCTCAATATAGAGACTCATATTTTTATTCTCACAACTCACACCCTCATTTTGAAACTAAGCTCAATAAGAAACTAATGCCAATTAAGTATTGATTTTTTATGTGGAAATGTAAATGCAGCTACGGGGATGTGTTTAAGACAAATATTTTGGGAAGCAATTTAATCATTTCAACCGACCCAGAAGTGAACAAGGTGATTCTGCATAATCAAAAGAACATATTCATCCCTGCTTATCCAAAATCAATTAAAGAATTAATGGGAGAACACTCTATACTCCAACTGAACGGTAACAAGCATAAGAAACTGCATTCAATCATTGCAGTGTTTCTTAAATCTCCACAATTTAAAGCAAGAATCACCACAGATATTGAACATTCTGTCAAACAATGCTTAGCTTCTTGGACCAACAAAACAATATACATTCAAGATGAAGTCAAAAAGGTCTCTCTCTATCACACACTCTCATTAAAGCTTTTTTTTAGAAAAGTTTATTCTTTTTTAATATGCAATCTCCTAATTATCTTCTCTTTGTGAACTTTGTGTGGATGTGCATAAACACCAGATTACATTTCCAATTTTGAATAAAGTTCTGATGAGTGTTGGTCCTGGCGAAGATTTGGACTTGTTGAAAAGAGAGTTTGAAGCATTCATCAAAGGGTTGATTTGCTTACCCATCAAGTTTCCAGGAACAACACTATACAAATCCTTGAAGGTCCCACAGACTAAACACATTGCAGTACATATTATTTATGAAATATTAGGCACGTAATATTAAGCTTCTAATTAGTTAGTTTATGATTGAAACGCGTAATTAATTATGTGTGAATTGATGGATTAATTGTGCAGGCTAAGGAAAGGATGATGAAAATGGTGAGGAAGATAGTGGAGGAAAGAAAGAAGAAAATAATGGATAATAATGAAGTGAATGATGTTGTGGATGTATTGTTAAGAGGCAAGGATGATTTATCCCAATCTAGCTCAAGTTCAAACTTGGAGTTGGAAATGATTAGCCAAAACATCATAGAGATGATGATTCCAGGGGAAGAGACCCTTCCTACAGCCATGACCTTGGCCCTTAAATTCCTATCTGACTCACCTCATGCTCTATCCAAACTTATGGTATGCTCAATACTTAATCATGTTAAGTATGTTAAGTATTTCCTTTTTTTGGTGCAATGTTGTTATGTATTTCATTAATTATTGAGATTGTTTCAAATTGAATAAATATGGACAACAACAATCAGCTCAGGCACTTTTTCCTGTTCATATTAAAACACAAAAATTGAAAGTGAAAACTTTTATCATTAACAGGCTTTTTTTTATAGTTCATTAACATGTTTGACCATAAGGATGTTCGTTAAATAAACTTACCATACTAGCTAGTTTATTGTTTTATTTGAGGTAGGTCTAAGCACTTTTTTATATATAGTTTATACAACTTTTTTTCCTTTACTTTTTTATAAGTTCTAAAAGAATCCTCATAGCACTTTCCCCTTTAAAGTTGAAATCTATTAATATGTAACTGTTACAAGTTTAAAGAGAAAGTCATTGATTCTTTTGAAACTATAAAAAAGTAAAGAAAAAAGTGCATAAGTTATAGATCTTATGTATATAAGCAATAATACAGAATATATTGTTCTACAAAAGAAAAATAGACTTCATGTAAAATAATTATATCAAATGTTATTTTTATATCGTTTTGTATTTATTAGCTAGCTAAACAATAAATATAAACTAAAAAGTAGAGCACTCACTACTGGGAGCAAACCAAAAATGACAACTTGATTTTATGTGTAGCATTTTTTTTAACAAAAATCATCTTCACTTCTCAAATAAAATTGAAAACTCTAGTATTAATGCTTTTTGGTACATTAACTAGACTTTTGTACATTAATAATAATAAAATTATTAATGTAGAATAACTTTATATCTGGTTTTCTTGACCAATTTTTATACCTGGTTGTTATCTGATTTATTTGTTTGTTTTATCATTAGGAGGAGAACATGGAATTGAAGAAGCAGAAGACCGATAACTCAGAAGATTATACATGGACTGACTACATGTCACTACCATTTACTCAGAATGTGAGTCTCCATTGTTAGATTTCATTTATATACAAAATCATATGTTCCGATATAAAAATATGTAATTGTCATTCTGTTCATTGATTTCTCGTCTATCTCCTTTCTAAAAGGTTATTAGTGAAACACTTAGAATGGCCAATATAGTCAATGGAATTTGGAGGAAAGCAGTCCAAGACGTAGAAATCAAAGGTGGTTTAGTTATTCAAGGAAGTAGTATTTAGTTATCTTTTGCCTTAATACATATAAATAAAACACAAACTAATAAAGTTTGACTTTTCTGCATATGAATGCAGGGTACCTAATTCCAAAGGATTGGAGTGTTATGGCATGTCTTATCACTGTTCACTTGGACCCAAAGAACTATGAAAACCCTTATAAGTTTGATCCATGGAGATGGGAGGTAATTAATCTTATAGAGCTATATAATCTAGTCATGTTCATGTTTATATAAGAATCTCATAATATACATGATGTTCTATGTTTTCAGAAAATTGAAGTTTTGGCTAGTAACATCCGCTTTGCCCCATTTGGTGGTGGACATAGACTATGCCCTGGGTTAGAACTTTCTAGGCTAGAGCTCTCTATTTTCCTTCACCATCTTGTTACTACATACAGGTAATATAATAGCTGCACTGTTTTTTTTCTCATAATGTTTAATGATTTTTACAAGTGATTGGTATATAATATACAGATGGGTCGCTGAGAAGGATGAAATAGTATACTTTCCAACTGTTAAGATGAAGAAGAAGCTGCCAATTAGAGTCCAACCCATTAACGTTTGATTGGATTACACCATCATGGATATCTTGTATAGAGATATCAGTGTTGTGTATTAAGTTTTGTGCTAGATCTTGCAGAACAATAACATTACCTTTCCAGAAAATAGTGTTGTGTACTGAATTGTGTTAGATCTTGCGTAACACTAATACTTAAGAGGATAGAGGAGTTTAAGGACCTCTATTCTATCTTTGAAAGCCGTAATAGCAGGTGGATATGATCGAAGATAACTCTTAGACCCTGTGTCTATACTGTATACAATACATTAGCTTATTTGTTTGATTCCAATGCAGCTTTTGTGGTGGGTATGTTCTCCACGTGGGTTTTGAGGTAATCCTGGCCCGTGCCATGACATAAACTCGTGCTCCACTATCCTGAGTTATTTGTCTCAAATGTAGTTGTAGTACAACTCTTAACTAATAAGACTAAGATATTAAGATGCTGAATAGAATACAACCTTAAGTGAAAAGGAGACATGCGATAACAAGAAGAAAAAAATAACATTTGACCACACCCCGTTAAGGCCACCCCAGAAAGCAGAGTTATGCAAACTAGTAGCTTGCATCATAGTTGTCTAACCGGAAAAACTTTTAAATAGGTTTGTCCCTGCCTGCATATCTGAGTTTTTAATGATATTTAACACTAGGCCCAATATAATTATGTAATCATGTATCACATATAATATAGTAATGATTTGACTGATAAGCGTTATAATTTGAGGGGAAATTTTGCATATATTTAGTTGGGCTTTTGTTCTATCACCACTCCACACTTGCATGTTTTTGGTAGCAGCCTCAACTTGTAATTCAAGTAATGATTCATGAATTAAACAATTATGGGAGCATATACTACTGACATGCTTTTGTTGAATTTTGGCTGGTGCTGGGCCTGCGACTATGGCTTGGTCGAGAAGGGGTGTGGGGATATCCACAAAGGATGAGTGACTTAAGTTACTTTGGCTTGGTCAAATTATAAATTTGCCATCCTAGACTCCTAGTAGCTAGTGTATCATGATCAAATAGTAAACATCTTATTAATATTAAAACTGAGTATGAGGATTATCTAAGTAAAACGTTATCAAAGTTTCACACAAACAAGTTGCATCCAAACAATTCAAAGAAGTATTCACATACCGACATTAATCCATGGTATGCCCCAGCTTCCAAACCGAGTCATCGTTTGAAACTCCTTCCCAACTTGACTCAATAGAACAATCTGATTTATCAGTAATAACATATATCAGACCCGAATCTGTCATATATTCTCACAAGTCACTATTAAAGTACAAACAGCACCACACCTTGCAGCCAAGAAAAGTAAGTTAAATAACTCTTCCCAACAAACTTGAAACAAGACTAATACCTGCTATGTATTATTCATCGACCCAACGCTGATCTGTTCTTTTAACAATTAAAGTGACCATATACAAGTGATGAAATGATACATTAAGTTTTTCGAACTTATGCAATATTCTTATCTAGTTTATATTTCATTCTCACTCTCTCACCTAATTTTTCGCTATTAGTCATCAATATCATCTTCATTCATGACTTCCCAATGGTGATCAAAATAAACTCCAACTTCATTAAACAAAGAAAGCAAACACAACAACTCTTCGATCGAAAGCTTCGAAGGTCTTTTATCATCAAACCCTCCCTTTTTAAGAACTCCAACAATCTTTTCCTTAAACAAACAAACATCATCTTGTTCTCTAACCAAACCAGACACATTATTAAATTCCAACAGCTCCAAAACTTTCCTCTTACTCTTAAACGTAGCACCAAGCGTTTTATTCTTGTTATTAAAGCATGTCCTAGTGAAAGCCCTCCATTGACGGAGATTAACGTCGGGAACATTAACTTTAGGTCGAATTATAACGACGGAGGAATCAACTTTAGGTGGCGGAAGAAAATCTCTCTTGCTAACGTCCATAACAAACTCCACGTCAGCTAAAAGCTTAACGTTAACGGCTAACCGGTTAAACTCAGAGTCACCGGGATTAGCCAGTAATCTTCGAGCAAACTCTTTCTGAAGTAAAAGAGTCGCGCTCCTAAACGGTATCGTTTCGTATATAAGTTTAATTATAAGTGGTGAGGATATACCGTAAGGAATGTTCGCTACCACGAGATCGAACGGTGGAAACTCTGTTCTCAATGCATCTTTAGTTATCACCTGCCAAAAAAATAATAATAAGTCACGTGGTTTGTGCATTTTGGATTTGGCATTTCATCGAACATGTGAAATGCAATGAAAATGAAAGGGAAGGAAACGGAACGGAACGTACCCTTAGCTTGCTGCGGAGGCCGCGTTTGGTGGCACGATTTTCGAGAATGTGAACCATGCGGTGGTCGAGCTCGATGGCTATGACTTCATGGGAAGCTTCTAGAAGTTTGAGGGTGAGGTTTCCGGTGCCGGGACCGATCTCGAGGACCGTGTCGGTGGGGTTTATTGCGGATTTTGTTACGATTGTGTCAAGGATTCGAGGATTTGTGAGGATGTGTTGGCCTTTGCTCTTATGAAAATGTATATTCTCTTCGATGTCTTCATGGAGTTGACGCAGTGGTTGTAGAAAACGAGGGAAGAATGCAGGAACGCGTTTTGTGGCGCGAAGCATGGTTCAGGTTGTATTCATTTTACTCTTCAAAGTGAATTTGTTTAGGGCTTGGTGAAACCTCAAATTTCATTGGATTCGTAATTATTTCAAAAAATTATATATTCATATTTATTAAGAAACATTTTTTATAAAAACTTTTGTATTGATATATTGTCTCAATTTTATGTGTACTGTAACGTGGACCAATAAAAGAGCTGTGTTTTTAACTATAGAAGTCATACTTATAATGACTCAGTTTAGAAATTTTAAATTTCTTAAGTTTAGAAAATTTAATTTTCATTTTGTAATCCTGCTTTGCTTTGTAATTAGGGGTGGAAATAGGTCAGACTAACTAATAGGGGTCTACGGTCTAGCTTACATATGCTTAAGTCAAGTCAGATTTTTTTTTTAAATAAAAAATATTTAGACTTTTTTATAAGTCTATTTAGCTAAAGTGGCTAAGTCACCGGCAGTAAGAAAAGTCTTTTAAGTCTATCATGTCGACTTATTTATAAAAAAAATTAATAAATTTGTTATTATTATATTGTATTTTGTACTTTGAATTAAAATACGAAAATAAAGCTTAGTTATTTTGAACAACTTATGAAAATAAGTTGAAAAAACATTATAAACAATGTCATAAGTTGTTGTCATAAATTTTTTTCCATAAGTTCTCTCCACCAAATGGTATTACCAAACTTATGCTAATAGGTAAACTTGAATGAGACAACGAAAACAAACATTTAGTCTCAATGGTCTTTTAATTTGTTAGTCTATTTAACATTAATTGAATTTCTTATTTACAAACCTTTAAATGAAGTAGACTTTTAAATAGGTTAGTAGGCCTTGAAAAGGTCAGGCTTAGGCATAAAAAAAGTCTATGATAGGCTACAGGTCAGGCTTATGCTTTAGGTCACACTCAGGCTTCGCAAAGTCTAGCTCGGCTCAGCCTATTTCCGCCCCTATTTGTAATGAAACATGACGCTGAAATCATTTTGTCGTAGTCTGCTATAGAAAAATTAGTCTATATTTTTCGCGAACAATATAATTGGAGTCATCCTCGAACCAAAACAAAAATAATCATTCATTTTTTATTTTGAGTTACTACAAAAATGAGAGGTTAGACGGATCGAAGATAGGGTAAAATAATTGATTTTTTTTATTATTCATCAGAAGTATATATAACATATGAGAGTTGATCTGATTTGTCATAATTACATGTAAATTATTATTATAAATAAATACAAAATAATATAGATTAATATAAAATAAATGCAGATTTTATCTCACTAATGAAGTTGAAGCGGGAGGTTCGGCAAACACTTAGATTGGTTTAGAAATCATCAAATAGAACTATATGGAAGCCTTTTGTGAAGATATCTACAATCTGGTATCGGGAAAGAACATGAACAATGATGATCTGACCGCGAACGACCTTCTTTTGAACAAAGTGAATGTTCATCGTAATGTGTTTAGTATGTTGATGTTGGACAGGATTGTCGGATAGATAGATAGCACTAACATTTTCACAGTAGATCAAAGTAGCTTGAAAAAGGGGGAAATGAAGCTTTAAGAGAAGGTTACGGAGCCAACATAATTCTGAAACTACCTTGGGAACACCTCGGTACACAGCATCTACACTGAAACGAGAAAGTGTGGGTTGTCTTTTGGAAGACCATGAAATTAGGTTGTCACCAAGAAAAACACAATAACCAGAAATAGATCGACAGGTATCGAGACGTCTGCCCCAGTCAGCATCTATGTAGGAAATAGACTTCTCGATGGGAGAAGGATAGAAATGCAAACCATATTGTAAGGTGCCTTGAACATAATGCATGATGTGTTCCAATGCAGGCATGTGCTTGGTGCAGGGAGCATGCATGTGAAGCCACACCTGCTGGACAACATAAGAGATACTTGGATGGGTAAATGTGAGATAATACAAAGCAGCGGCAAGACTCTAATATAATGTAGGGTCGTCATATGGGGTGCCGACAGAGGTACTGAGCTTTTACTTGGTGTCAATTGGAGTAGCAGAAGGTTTGCACGAGGTCATGCCGGCTTGAGCAATAATGCCACTAACATAGGTACTCTGACTAAGAAAAAGTAAATTTGCATGTCTAGGCACTATAATACCCAGAAAATAGTTCAACGATCCTAGATCCTTCATAACAAACTCAGAGATAAGAAGTTCATGATAGATTAGCGTAGGTCATTAGAGGAGATGATAAGGATGATGACATCAGTATAAATTAAGATGTAAGCCATGTCAGAGCCACGTCAGTAAATGAAGAGAGAGTGATTTGTGATGATGTGGTGAAATCCAAGGTGGAGACATAGTCAGTGAAAAGCTAGTGCCAGGGATGAGGCGCTTGCTTCAAACTATAAAGAGATTTCCACAAGCAACATGGGTGATGAGGATCACGGAAACCTAGTGGTTGATGCATATAAATAGTTTCATGAAGATCACCATGTATAAAGGTATTTTAAACATCCAACTGATGAATGGGCTGGATTTGGAGAGAACAATTGTGAGAACGGTGTGAATGGTCGTAGGTTTCACCGCAGGGATAAAAGTTTCATCACAATCCACTCTTACAATTTGAGACCTACCATCACCTACAAGACGAGTTTTGTAACGCTCAAACCAGCCATTAAATTTCTTTTTATGCCTCAAAATGCACATACAATGAATAATGTTAACATCACGAACTCAAGGAACTAAATCTCACATATTATTTTTAGTAAGAGCATTAAATTCAAATGACATTACGGATTTCCAATTAGAGTCAGAAAGGGAAAATTTATGGTTTTGGGGAAGAGGGGAGATGGTTAGATCATTAATGGTAACAAATAAGTTAAAGAGTTTCTTAGGTTTATAAATGCCCCTCATGTTGCGAGTGGTCATGGTATATGTTACTGTCTGAGATGTTCATCTAGTGGAGAATATAAACATGGGCAAGTTTGTTTATGTATAAGAGAAAGGTGTAAAGCATCAATGAAACAGTTGTATGTAAGGGCAGGTGATAAGTGGTTTTTCATATTGTTACTTCTAGTCATTTTTGCTTGGCATTTTACCGCTTTTTGTCTGATTTATTTCCATTTTTCATATTTTATGCTTTAGTTGTGTGTGTTTTACTGTTTTCAGAGTCTAGTGAGTGTTCGAGGTGAAAAAGGATCGAAAACAAGCAAAGCATGGAAAAACGTCAAAAGTCGTAAAATCCTCATACAAAATCCAAAGGGTTGTTACGGTCACCCGTAGTAGCTACTACAGGTCATAGCAGGAAGGGCCTAGGGTTTCCCACTTTTGAAGTTTCTAGTATATAAAACAGAGGCCTGCTACAGCCACCCGTAACAACTTCTACAAGGCATAGCAGAAGGACGAGATACATTTTATTTCTTTCCTTTTTTAGACTGATTCTCATGTTTTTGAATCTTTGGTGTGATTAGGTATGAGATATTTTGATGTAATGGCTATTGGAAAATGATATTTATCCTATTTTTAGGTTTTTCTATAAAACTCATTGTGGGTTATTAGTTTAGGTCCCCCACTTTTATTCTGCAAGAGTTTCTACGTATTTTCTTTGTCTTTGTACTCAAATCTCCATTCGAGCATTGGATTCAAGCTTATCAATTTAGGTTTTATTATTTGTTTTAATTATAATTACTTGTCTAATTTAATTGTTTATTATGAAATCATTTGTGAACATGAATTTGATCCTGTTTGCCATCACCATGAGTGAGTAATCCATTAGGGACTATGGGTTATGGGGATCATCTCATAATTGTTTGTATGATATGTCGCAATTCGATTACAATAGTATTTTGTCTAAATCTATTTTAATACATGATTTCATGCATTCCAACCGTGTATGACAGTAAAGTGTTCTCATGTACTGACCATAGTCTGAAAGGATATGCGTCGGTACCAAAACACAATAATCTAGTCGTACGAAAGCAGACGAATTATTCGTCATCGATAGAGCAGTGTGCTAGAGAAAGCAGGTATTACCCATATTTATATATTTTCTATAAATTGTGTCAAAACTCTCGTACTAGAAGTGACTCGGATTATACGAATGTGTTGGAGTAAGAATCCTAACCCTAAGTCTTATTTTCCTTTATTGTGATTTTAATGGTTTTTTGATTAAGTTGTTTTCATATAAGTGCTTTTTATTTAAGTTATTTTTACCAAAACTTTCAAATTATTGATTCCTCTATATATGCATCGATAGAGCAGAATTCAGTACTTAAACCATTAGCCTCTGTGGTTTGATAACTTTGTACTATTTCGCACAGTCGTTCATTTGTAAGTGTCAAGTTTTTGGTAATGTTGTCAGGAACCAATTGCGTTTGATTTTGAATTATTGTTTAACCACCATATAGATCAGAGATTTGTTTTTCTGTTTATTTTATTGTGTTTATTTTGATGTAGTTTTCACTGCTATTGTATACAAAGAACTTGTTATGCTGGGAATTTAGTCGAACTTGTAAATGAAATCGAGCGTTTTTTACGTGAGAGACACCAAAATCTTAGACTACAAGCCACGACTGAACCAGTAATTGACACTAAGACTCTTATGGATTACGCAATTCCTACAGAAGAGGAACTGCATTGTAGTATTGTGCACCCGCCTATTGTGCCAAATAATTTTGAATCGAAATCGTCTTTGATTGGTAAGGTGCAACAAAATCAATTTTCCGAAATACCGTCTAAAAACCCGAACCTTCATATTTTTATATTTTTTGATAAGTATGGTAATATTAAGGCTAGTGGCATTGTCCAAGACGTTATCCGACTCCGTATATTCCTTTTTTCTTTGAGAGATCGTGTGTGGGTTTAGCTTCAATCCTAGTCCGCCAATTTGATTACTTACTGGACTTAGTTGAAAGTGGAATTTCTTGCATAGTACTTTCCGCCAAGAAAAACGAACAAAGTTAGGAACGAGATTAATAATTTTGAACAAGAAGATGAGGAATCTTTGTTTGACACGCATGAGCGTTATAAGGATTTATTAAGA